GCAGTCACTGCAGCCTGAATGGGGTGCCGGCTTTGTCCACCGCAGCGCTGGGCAACTGCTGAGAGCAGGGGGCCTGCACAGAAGAAAAGGAGCTTGAGGAACCACCTCCTAACATTAAAAATTACGCTGCTCGGCACTATGTTGCAAGTGCAGTCTTCTGTCCTCAGAACGGGGTCAGAATGTTCATGAGGACCAGCGTTATTGGAGAGCTAACCCCACTGAGCAAGCACATGCTCCGTGGGGCATGCCCCAAGTTTGGCCTCCCCTCCTCCTCTTACTGAAACCTGGATGCCAATCTAGGTGACCATAGTGCCACCATGAGCTTCATATCTGTGCTGAGATAGAGGTTTACCAACATCTAATGGCCCCATTACCATTCCCTTTTCATTCGGGCTTAATGATAGCGACGAGCTTGCCCTCGGGAGCAGCAGGTGCAGGCAGTGAAGGGTTGGGATTCCGAATTGCCCCATCCCCTGTGTTGGGGAAGTGTTAGAAAAGTGGAGCGTATCTTAACTTCTAAAGAGAAGTAAAAACTAAAATTATTTTCACTTGCTCAATTTCTCAATTGATAAAGTCTCCCTTCGGTGACCCGGGCCCTGCATCCTGAAATGACCACTCCCATCGTCCGTCATCCCTCCTTCCCCCATCCCTTCCCCCTGTCCCGTCCGTTCCAAGAAGGAGTCGCGATTCTGTGTTGTCCGTGAGTCGCCCAGAGGCTGAGACCACGCAGAGGCGGCGTGCACAGCGTGGTGGGTGAGTGCGTACTGGGGTGCCAGCCTGCCGGGATTCGAATCTGGGCTCCGCTTACGGTCTGGGCAATTATTTATCTTCTCTCCGCCTGAGTCTGTCCATTATACAGATAATGATAATGGTAGCTACACCATAGGACCCTGGCAAGGAATAAGTAAACTTAGTACACACAGAGCACCGTAGAACAGTGCCAGATACTTAGCATTATGTGTGGTAGTTGCTATTTCACTGTGCACGTACTGTGTACCAAGAACTTTAACATGAAATATCTTATTTACCCCGTATAGCTCCCTTATAGAGATGGTATTTTTAAACCTCTTTCCAGTGATGAAACTGAGGCTAGAAAGGATGTTGATTTGACAAAGGTCACTGAATTCCAAAGTGGCCAGTGTGGAATTCGGCCTCAGATCCTTCTAATTTCAAACCCTGTGTAACCCACTGCACTCCCCCCCTCCCGGCCTGGGTGGATACGAACTCAGAGGACTGCAGTGGCGTGTTGAGGCTGTTGCTCTGTTAACCTAACATCTTCTCTTTCTAGATAAGGCCTTACACTAGGCTCAAGCTGCCTTGACTTATGAATGTTTTTCCTTTGATTCTTTGCCCCGTTACCTCACTGGTCCTTTTTATGCATTTTTAGTATTCAGCGGGACTCCCTTCTAGTTTTCTGCTCCCTCAGAAGAAATCTTTCCTTTCCTTAGAGCAGGGGTGGGGAACCTTTTTTGTGCCAAGGGCCATTTGGATATTTATAACATCTTTCATGGGCCATACAAAATTATCAACTTAAAAATTAACCTCCTATATTTGGTCAAACATTTAATTAACTCACCCCTAATGTGATGGCTGGAACTGCTTCTCTTTGGTGAGGCCTTGGCAGGTCCAGACCAATTGATTTCATGGGCCGAACATTCCCCACCCCTGCTATAGAGGATAACGCTGGCATCCAGGGTAGAAAATTATTTGGAATGTTGCTCCCCACAGGGATTGTCCCCCTTTCGGCTCAGTTTCTCCAAGCGGCTGGGGATGGTGGGGCTCCACTGCTCACATCAGCGGGATCTTTGCCATTAAAGAGAACATGTGGACGTGAAGAGCGAGCCCATTGCTACCGCTTACAAAACCTAGGAGGTTGCTCAAAGCATGTAGCTGGCTGCCTCCGCTCGGGTCACCTGGAAACCTTAGGGTTAGTTTTTAAATGTACCTGTATGTGGTCTTCACCTGCCCGATCCTTTCCACTGTTTTCCTGCCTGCGATTGTCGGTGCTGGTTTGCAGCATCTGTCACCAGCATCACCATGTCCGATATGAACTGCCACTCTGGCCACCGGCCTTGTCTTCTACAAGCCCCCACCCCAACCCCAGACAGAGCTTCCTGGAGCTGCAATCCTATTCCAACCACCCCCTGCTTACTTAAAACACAGCAGGGCTTCCCAGGGCTACTAGGACAAAGCCGTGATCCCTGCCTGCCACGCAGTGAGCCCACCTACCACGCCAACCCCATCTCCCTCCCCATGGGCCTTGTCCAGCTCCGCAGACTGGCTGTGTTCTCTCCTTGTGCAAGAGATACTAGCACCTAGGAACCTCACAGCCTTACTCTCCTTCCAGGTCTAGGGTCAGTTGTGGCTTCTGTAGGAAAGCCCTCCCAGGCCTCCCTGGCCAGGCCAGACCCCACGGTAACGCTGCACCCCCCCCTCCACAGCACTAGTCACCTGGCAGTTCCCTTTCACCTGCGCACAGCAGCTGCCTCCGCGCTCCCTGAGATCTGTTGCTGGGCCTGGCATAGTGTAGGCGCTCACTAAAGGATTGAGGGCAGCCTACCTGTTTCTGTGGCAAGAAGGGTGATAGTCTAGATACCCTTTAGGGGGGCCCTCTTGGACTCTTGGTGTCCCAAAGGGAAGTCTCCACATTTCAGACAAAGCAGTTCCATGGGTTTCCCTGGACTCTCAGACCTCAAGGTAACTGCTAAACTGCTATAGCCCGAGGGACAGTAACATAGATTCCATTGCCCGATCCTCACCCTACGTCCAGGGCCAGCCTGTGGTGTTTCCATGTGAACTGTCCACTCAGACCCGAGGATGTCACTGCCGCCTCGTGCGGAAGCTTCAGAGCTAGGGAGGTGGGAACGGAGAAATCTTATACTCTGGCTTTGACCAGCAATCCTCCAACATGTCTACATCCTTAAAAGTGCTCTGACCCTAAACAGTTTTTTTCATGGAAACGTTGAAAATTAACCTCATCGCTCCAGCAGCCAACTGACCCTTCCAAATCAGAGCAACCTTTTCTTCATTCATTTTATCCAAGGAAACAACACTTTTTGCCAACTTGTGAGGAAGTGTCAATTCATTTCAGCTCCCCTTTGGGCTAGACAGAGATACAAATAAAAAATAGCTCAGATTTATTGAGCACTTACTGTTTGCCAGACACTATGAAAAGCATGTTCCATGGAGGATCTTAATTGGTCCTCACAGCCCCTCCATGACGTGTGGATACTGTTATCGTGCCACTTTATAGACAAGAAATGAAGACTCTGAGAGTTACATATTTGTGCGCGGTCACAGAGCCCTGAGTGGTGGAATTTGCACCCAGAACAGCCCCCTCTCACACTCATGCTCTCAGACACCATGGTGCACTGCCTTATCCTTTGAGTGTTTACATTATTTGCAGGTTATGAGGTGTCTGACATAAAATGGCATGTCTCCCCACTCCCCATCACCTGCTTGCCTGTAACCAGTTCATTGTTAAGCTTGTTTAAATAAATTTATGTATAACTAAAAAGCCGGCGACACAACATTGCATTAAATCTAGCCTAACTATCATGCCAAATTAAATTGTTCATTAATGTTTGTTTTACTTTTTAAAAATATTTTTACATATGTCTTTCATTTTATCTTACTGTTTCCTTTATAATATTTAATAAGTAACCGTAGCCTCGCATCATGTTTAGAAAGCAGCACCCATCGTGGGAGTCCTAGGCTTGTGCTCCCTCCGATCTTTTCCTCCCCATGATCCTGGGGTTTGCTGGGGGCCTGATCCCTGCAGGCTGTGTTGGTCTGGCTTCTGGGAAGGTTCAGCCCGTCAGAGGCCTTGCTGGGAGGTGGGGGTGGGGCTTAAGGAAGAGCTAGGCTACTCCTCCCTCCCTCTCCTGCTGCAGCTGCATCTTCCCTGTGGCTCCAGCTCCCACCGGTGGCCCCAGCCCCTGGACTCCATTTACATCCTTTTGTCCCTCCAACCTCAGGGTGGTGGTGGCCTTCTGCTTTTCCCGTCTCTGGGCTGCTTTACTGCCCCCCCTCACCTGTGTACCCAGTTCCCTCGATTAAATTTTTCCTGTTATAAGTAGGTCTTTCCAGTTCTTGAGGTTGGACGCTGTTGGATCTCCAGTATTCTCACGTGTCATCTCAATACTTATTTACAATTTACTTTAGAGACATAGAAGATGAGTGATAAGATCGAGTTAAAACCTTCTGATTAAAACACCCAAAGCTTTTGTGGTCACTGTGGCTGTGGTATCAGTAGGAAACCTGGCTGGGCGTTTGGTGCCCCTGGTTCCAGTTCTAGCTGAGTCATTAGCCATACTTAGAATCAGTCAAGTCAGAGCCTCAATTTCGTGGAAAATGAAGGTGCTCCCGGTATCCTTTCTGGCAGCCCTGTTAGCTGGCTTTAACTCCTTCCAAACCAAGACAGTTCTAGGATGCGGTCTCAGCATCTGTGGGGACCAGTGAGGTGTCTCCTTCAATGGAATGACCCTTGACTCCAGCCATCTGCCCTTCTAAGGCACAGTGTTGGTCCCCAAGGAATCAGGTACCAGAATGTGGATGAGCCAGGGCAAATCTATCACCATTCTGGGAAGATCCTTGAACAGGTCTTTCTGATTCCGACCCAGATGTTTGGTCTTCATTTGGGCACAACACACTCGCAAGACGTGTAACACAACAGTAAAATTTGGTGCTCAGCTGTCCTGACTGGGTTTAACCGTCTATCAAAGACGATATTTCATATATTCACTTCATGGATGAACCCAATAGCAGAGTATGCATATGGCATTTGTCTGATGTAATATATTTTCTCTTTCCCTATTTTAAACACACTCTTCTTATAGTCTCTAAACACCATTTTTAAAAGTACATTATCCAGCATTTGTGTGTGTGTGTGTGTGTGTGTGTGTGTGTGTGTGTGTGTGTGTGTGTACTTGGGCCCAGATGCTCTGGGTACCTTAAATAACTTTAATTTACTAAACTTCACTCCTCCTCCCCCACCCCAGCCCTTTCTTTTCAGAAGATACATTTAGACAATCACCATTCTCCTCCAATTCAAAAGACCTGCTGCCCAGCGACTCTGTGCTCCCCGGGAGAATATCAACTCCAGGTATGGAAACACTGTTGGCTCTGCTTCTACTATTGATCTCTCAGAAATCACTTCTCTGAAATGTGTGAATTTTCAGATGCTTTCCGCAAACGTGTTGACGGTATTCAGATGAAGCAGCCAGGTTTTTAAAAAGAGGGAGAAACTCAATTTCAGCAGCCACAGAAGTTTATTATAAGAAAATGCAGACCATAAGAAAGCTCTTCACTGCTTGAGGAGCTTATTGTCATTTACCTGCTGATGTTTCTCGTCCGCATAGTGAAATTCTTATTCTTTGAAATAGCGAAGCATAACCTGAAAATAATTTGCTTCTCACATTGTCAGTGTTTCAGGGAGGCAGCCAGGAAGGTAGGGGAGGGCGGTGGCTCGGGCAGGATAGGTCAGGACCCCAGTGGTGTGTGGGCCACCCCAAAGACTACTTCAGTTTCCGTGGAGGGAACACAGTTCCTTAAGACAATCTTGCCCCAGATTTCACTCTCTTCTTAGAGTGTCTGCATATATCCATCCAATGCTGCCTTTTGCCATCTGAGTATCAGTGTGTAATTTCTTACCTGCTCTTCCTTTTTCCTTTCCAAAGTAAAAAGAGAGATGTGTTTGCTGTCCCCTTATCAATAGCATGACTGTCCCTCAGGGCTCCTGTGTGTGTCCTCGGAGTCATGAAATGAGGACATTGGAGAACCCCTGCACTGCAGCCTATGGTCCTTACTCATCACCCCCCGCACACACACAGCCCACCCCACCACAGCAACAGCCCAGCAGCCAGGAACCTTTCCGCTGTGCTTACCTTCCTTCCCAGCCACAGAGAGAATTTCAAAAGCTCTCAGTGGCCTCCACAACCATTCGGTTGTCCAGGAGAACAGTGGGAGCCCGTGGCCCTGTGCCTGTGCGGGAGGGTCTCACAGCAGGGTTGTTGGCCGGGAACCCCTGCAAAAATAAAGTCCAAGTGTCCTCCACACACGCGAGGAGCCTGGTGTCACAGACAGCTGGAGATCTGAGTATTGTGTAATTCAGAAAGAGCTGAGTAGCACCTTATGAAATGCTGGCTTGGGCATCACAAGTCATTGGAAGGGGTTTGTAACAAACAGTTGGAAAAAGGCAGCTCTTTGCCGTCCTTCAGTCTTGTGATGGCAGATCCATTTCTTCTCATCTCCAAAGAGTCCAGGGGCCGGCATGCTTTTTGCTCTGCAGGACTTTTCAGTTCAATCACCATAAATAACACAGGTACACAGAAACCCATTACCTGACACCTGGTTCTAGAGGTGGAAAGAAATTCGGCTCAGTTGATGTCTTCATTCTCAAACAGGGGCTACTTGAACCACTGTCTACTTTCCACAGTGTCATTTTGAATAGCTATCTCCCTGGTCCCCAAATTATTGCCCTGCTGTTAAGCTGATGGATTGTGACTTTCTAATGTCGAAATAACTGCCTAGGAATTGCTAGTTGGAGTGCCGTGACCCATACAGCCAGCGTCCCATGATGGATGTACCAGCCCTGCATTGCTGGCTTAATGCTGGGCTGGGCTATATTTTAAGAAGGGTTTATTGGTCAAGTTACAACTCGACCTCAAAGACTGATCTCACTACATGTTTAGCTGTGCATGGGCGGCTTTTCTGTGATTTGCGTGGAAGATTTACATTACAAATGAGATAAACTCACACCTAAAAAGTTAACTTATTTTGAAGGGAAGGTCAGCCTAACAGGGATTTTAGAAATGTAAGTCCACCATTCTGAGGGAGAACCAACCTCTGTACATCAAAAAGCCTTTCTTTAGGCAGAGGGTGAGCAAAATGTTTACATTTTACTGAAATACACAACTGAAAGGGGGCTTTTTTGGAAATAAACAAGGTGATAGTGTTTTGCAAGTGGAGTTAAAATTAGAAAAATTAAAAATGGCCCTGGCCGGTGCAGCTCAGTTGTTTGAGCATCTCATGCACCAAAAGGTCGCTGGTTCGATTCCCGGTGAGGACACATGCCGGGGTTGCAGGCTTAATCCATGGTGGGGGGCATGCAGGAGTCAGCCGATGGATGTTACGCTCTCATCGATGTTTCTTTCTCTCTCTCCCTTTCCCTTCCTCTCTCTCTAAAATCAATTAAAAGGAATATTTAAAAGAAAAATTAAAAATGGTAAGGACAACCTTGTGAGTTCGAAGTTCCTGTAATCTGAATACATGTTTCGTAAGGAAAGCCTCAATAATTTGAACTAATTGTGGAGAAGACCTATCTCAATTAACAAAATATTGAAGTGCGGAGACTTCTTAAGTAAATTTTCCTTTCAAGTCTGGACAGAGATAACTGGACATGACATACCTACTAAATGAACGCTCCCCAGTCCCTTACCCACAATTTGTAAACCCAAAAGCTCTACCAACCACCATTTTTTGAGTAAGTTACTTGATGGTACAAATTAGTGGGAGGCTATTTACAGCCTTTGTGTGTTAGGCCAAGGGTGAAATTCATGCATTTTGTTGCATAAATATCAGCGTGCTTGATTATAAAGGCCCACTGAAAGTATGCATTGGGCACCATATTATCATCTTGAAGTCAGAAGATGTATGAATCTCAAAGTTAGTCAGGCCCCAGGAGTCTTGGATGTGGTGGGCCTACCTTACTCTAGTTCTCCACTGAAATGCTATGCTGGGGACAGGAACTTTTAAGCTACAGTTGAGGATCTTAAGGTTCTGTGGTATAAGAGTCATGAATTCATATAGAGAATTTTGAAAGACCAAGTGGGCAGCAGATTGCTGAATCACTGGTGAGGACGTGACAAGAAAGGAGTTCAGTGGAGATGCCGTAGCGCTGGGGCAGCATTAGTAATGAGGGCCTGGGTTAGGGAGGAAAGGAGGGGATGGGAGAGGCAGACAAGGGTGGCTAACTGGCCTGGGAGGCTGGCTAGCTTTGCCATAAGCAGGTTGAATTAAGGAATGACAGTGGCTGTGCAGAAATGAGGAAGCAGGGAAGGAGACAGCTGGCTTTAGTGACTAAGCAGAAAATAATCTGCGGTTAGTGTATCAACAAAAGCTTCAGAGTCCTTAGAAATCTTCTGTTGGGTACTTTCAACGTTACCGTTAAAGTATTATTTCTGTATTTACCTTGCAAACTTCTTTCCACAGATAATGCAAAGATAAATAAATGTCAATCCAGAGAATTATCTCAGATTCCCAATTAGAAGAGACCATAATTAGATTTCATGGGCCTAGTTCCAATCTAAGAAATCCCTTGCAAATGCTGAAAACCGATATTATCATTCAATAATATAGATTGGTACGTGTTTATATGCCTTCTATCCATGGGATGAAATTCTTTCCATACACTTTGGAGTGAGACCACAGGGCAGGGCCCGTGTCCCACAGGAGAGGCTCATTTAAGGCCACTTTGGAGAAGGAAGCAGCAGCGCCGGGGACAGCTAAGTAGGGAGAGGTGGGTAGGACTGTGGGCTGTGAAGACATCGAGAATAGCACAGTTAACTAGACATTTGCCTTTGGCAGATGGTATCTCAGACACACAGCTGCCACCATCTCAGAGAAATAGAATGAATACAGAGCTTCACAGTGCCTTGGCCTCTCTTGTTGCCACTGTTTCTAGACCGACTTTCCTGAGAACCAAAGGGTGCTCGAGAGCCCAGACCTAACGTCTGTACTGTCCGCAAATGTCTTAGGGGCAACACCAGGAATCCTTAGCCACATGATGACTTAGAAGCTGCTGTCACCTTCTGCTGGGATGGAATACCCTTCAAGCTGCATATAGACTATAGACGGCTGAGTGCTCCCTGGGTGGTGGTGTCCCTGGGGGCGATTTTACAAAAGAAAGAAAAGAACTTGTTATGAGGGAGATAGAATTACAGGCCATGATTAGTTTCACGCACATTGTCCAATGTATAGTTGTCTTGCTCTGTAAAAGATTTATGTTGACAGAAGAATGGTTCTGAGTTCAGGTGCTCGTCAGGGCGCTAAGAGCGGTGCTTCTGTGTAGCTGTTTATGTTTGCCGCCAAGAGAAGAATTTCTGTCTCAGCACGGCTTCTAAACAGTGTGGAGCTTCTGCTCTGTTTTATTATGATTTTCAAAGTCAGTCTGTTTGCTCTGTATTAAGCAAAAAAACAATAACACCGCCCGAGCGGGTGTGAAGGGAAATGTGGGTGTCCGTGGAATTCTTTCCCAGTGGAGTCTCTGACACTTCTGTTTGTTATTTCAGGTGGGGCTTAGAGTTAGACAGTGTAGAACATACCAGCAATTATATTTGTAAATCCCTACCCCCATTATTTGCTAACTTCTTTTTAAAAAGCAAACACCTCTTTTTGTTGTTGTTGTTAATAACATACAAATAGGGAGCAAAGAACATGAGGGGAAAATTAGTTCTTTTTAAGACCTGAGATGCCAAGCAGGATCTGATGTCAAATAAAAAGGCTGGTTTGGATAGTCTGCCTTGTCCCCAGGCCAATTCTTAATCCATTTTCCTCTCTCTGTTCTGCCCATCAATCTAATACAAGTGGTACCATGTCATATACTTTTCTGAAATTTAAATAAATGATGCCTTGAATTAGAGTGCTGTCCACAACGAACCCAGCCTGCCATGCTATTGGCCAGATATGAATGGCCTCCTTCAGACAGTGGCTTTAAAAATGTGCCTGTCACATTTTTATGTTAAGACTTCCCAACTCATACCTCAAGGGAGAGACATACAAAGCTGCCCTGGATTGCAGAAAAGTGTTTTCTTCAATCCTTTTTTAAACATACCAGATTCTTTTTACATTCAGACTAAGTCACCGGCAAACAATAGAACACTAGGTGTTGTTGGCCTGCATCACTTTGTAGCTTAAGCTCCTTTTTGATTAAGCAAATTTATTCTGTACAGAAAAGAAAGCTTATAGTTATTAAGGACCTTCTAAATTGTCAGGCATGGGACCTATGTCATCTCATTGAATTCTGAAAACAACTCATTGAGACAGAAATTATGCTCAATTTACAGATGACTAAATTTACAGATTCAGAGAGATTTAATAACTTTT